CCGCCGCAGCCTGCGCCGCTTTGCGGCGGGCGGCTGCCCGTCTGTGAGGTCAATGCAGCGCTGCGGGGGGCGGCGGGGTCGTGCGGGAGAGAGCGAGGCTCGAAACAGCTGAAAGAGAGAGCAGGTCGCGGCAGGGTAAGAGATGCCGCGGCGCTCAGATGCTTAACAGGTCCGGGCCCGGCGGCCCGTGCGCGCACGCCCGGTTGCGAGCGTACCTCGCCGCGTGGCTGGGGCCTCTGCGATGGAATGTCATCCAAGAGTCCCTCCTCCCCTGCATCCGTTTCGCCGTCCTGCTGCTGCTGCTCCCCATTTGATTGCCGCTTGAGAAGCCGCCGCAGCGGCTGCCGCCCGCCGCTCCCGGCGCCGTCGCCGCGGGTGCCGGCGCGGGCGCCGCTGCTGCGCTTCCGCACCTCGCCGCTGCCGACGCCGCTCGGCCGCAGAGGTCGCTGGGGCGTGGCATCACGCACAAGCTGCTGCTGGTCCTCTTTCGGAGCCTGTGGGCCGTCGGCCTCCTGCTGGCCTTCAGCATAAGCACTCAGAAACTCGAAAAACTGCAGGGTAGTTTGAATGCATGGCAACAACGTTGACGTGATGTGGTGGCCCAGCCAACCACCTGCCTAGGGGTGGCAAGGCCGCTCGTAGATGCTATGTCATGTGTGTTTGTGTGGTTGGCTGATTCAGGGTTACAAAGCGTGCGCCGAAAGCAGGCTTGGTTGCAGTGCGCAGGGTCGCAGCGCGCACAGCGAGCACCTGGTCGGCGTCATTTTGCGATGGCTCCCTGCCGCCGATGCTGCGGCGGAAGCGCGCGAGAGCTGATTTTGCGGTGTCTGCATCGAAACCAGCATCCACCACAAAAGACAGGAGTTTGGTGCTCATTTGTGCATGCCTGCAGGCGATGATCACTGCTGCTTCAGTATGCAGCAGTTTCTTCTTGTATGACATTCGATTATGTCCTCAATGTGATACGGCATAACATACTTCGGAAGGCTGTCGATCTTCCCGCGCTCCTTAGTGATCTTCTTCACTGCCCCTTCAGCAAGGTTTATAACCAGTTCACCGCAGACTATCATCAATGGCATCAGCGGCCGCACAGTACAGCCGCCCGTTGCAGCGTAAGCTGCAGGAGGCGGGCCTGCAGGGATGCGTCGACGCAGCTGCGTTCAAACGCCTGCTGCAGTACGCGGAGGACGTGCAGGGCAGCCTGGACAAGGTCCACCAGATCCTGGCGGTCCTCAAAACGAGTGCGTTTTGGAGAGGGCCATGGCGATATCCTGGGGCCAGGCTGAGCAGCCTGCTGTGGAGCGCAGCCAACAGGCTTTGCACCGAAATGAGCGCAGCAGTGGTTGCTCGCTGCCCTCCTGCTTTGACAATTGCACACACTCAAGCCCGCATGCGCATGCAACCGCACATGCCCAAGTAGCCTTGTCTACCGAGGGCGACGACGACGGTGGCGTGGTGACGCGCGCAAACGTCGAGTCCGCCATCAGCCAGATCGCGGGGGCGGCGCCCCGCCGCGACCTCGCGTTTGTGGTCGACGCGTTTGACGTGCCGCGCGTGGTGTACGACCCGGTCAGCAAGCGCATGCACGCGGACGGGCGGCCCAAGACGATGCTCCCAACTGCTGAGGTGCGCCGGGCGGCCCGGCGCGGCCCCCCGGCCGGGCCCCGGGGTCTCGCCAGCTTCGCGGTCAGCTCGGGTGTGGCCCTCACAATTGTGGTGGCCGCACCACTCAAGGTACCGTACATAGAGGCCGCGGCAATGTTTGCACTAATTCCTAGCAGCAGAAGCGACCGAGCGGCGTTGCGGTCATGGCCGCCACACCCCACCCCACCAC